ATCTATCTATCTATCTATCTATCTATCTATCTATCTATCTATCTATCTATCTATCCCCCTTCCCCCACCCCAAGACCCTTCATATATTGTCAAATTAAACTAGCACTGCTAAAGTCCTTGAATTATAGCAGTACCCCTCCTCCTCTCCCTCATCTTCCTGCCACCGCAACAACCACCACCAAAAACAACTGTCACAACAACAACGACAACAACAACAACAACAACAAAAAACAACGACAACGATTGCTCGGCTGACTAACCTGACGTTGACCTGGTAGGTACAGTCGTGACCAGAGTTGTGGTGGTCATGGAGTACAGAGATGGGTCGGCATTGGATGGAACCACTGAAAACAAACCACCACATATCACAGTCAAACAACTGCAAGAAATGTTAACGACAAAAAAAATAAGATAAGATAAGATAAGATAAGATAATACTTTATTATCTAGGAGGGAAATTTGTAAGAGCCTCGTCGCCACTGAGCAGCGCCGGAAGAAATGTTGCATTCTTATAATTTTACATAAATCGGTCAAACAAATAGCCTACACCAAATTATAATTTTTTATGAAAAAAGCAGAGGTTTTCTCTCAAATATTCCTACATAAAACCATAAAACATGTACACTATTGATTCTATCTCCGAAAGTCATGTACAAAGCGTGTGGCTACCAAAGATTACTTCAAAAAAGTTGTTGGGTGCCAGGGCTCTGTCAGTCAAGACAGCATCGGAATAGTTTGGGGAAACAGATTGTACATGCTCCTTCTAGATTCAATAGAATGGAGATACAGCAAACAATTAGAAAACAAGGGGTGTTATAGGCTGCTTGCAAATTAAAGCAGAGCTTGATAGATGAAGTACTGAAGGGAAAAAATGAATTATGCCAACACTCATCGTTGGTAAAGAGGACCAGATAACAAAATAAGAACAAACTATGAACATGGTCACCATTGGTTAACAGGACAAGATAATGAAGTGAGAAAAACCATGCCTTACAAGCACAGCAGTCATTGGTGAACAGGATAAGAAAATAAAGTGAAAAACTGACTTACAAGCACAGCAGTCATTGGTGAACAGTATAAGGAAATAAAGTGAAAAACTGACTTACAAGCACAGTCATCATTGGTGAACATGATGTCATCGATGGCAATGTCACCAAGGTAGCTGGCTCCAACAGTGGCTTGTATCAGCACCTGGTGGTAGTATAAAGGAGAGGAGAGGAGATGAGATGAAAGGAGAGAAGAGTAGATGAGATGAAAAGAGAGGAGAGTAGATGAGATGAAAGGAGATGAGATGAGATGAAAGGAGAGGAGAGGAGATCAGATGAAAGGAGAAGAGAGGAGATCAGATGAAAGGAGAGGAGAGGAGATCAGATGAAAGGAGAGGAGAGTAGATGAGATGAAAGGAGAATAGATTAGATGAAAGGAGAGGTAGGAGATCAGATGAAAGGAGAAGAGACGAGATCAGATGAAAGGAGAGGTAGGAGATCAAATGAAAGGAGAAGAGAGGAGATCAGATGAAAGGAGAGGAGATACGATGAAAGGAGACGAGAATTGATGAGATGAGATGAAATGACAGGAGATAAGATGAAAGGACAGAAAATAAGATGAGATTAGATTAAATGAGAGGAGATAAGGTAAGGTGAGGTGGGGTGAGGTGGGGTGAGGTGGGGTGAGTTGATCAAGATGAGATAAGAAGTTGAGAGATGAGGTGATATATGTGAGGTGAGGGAAGTGACTTAAAGAGATGAACAGAGAAGAGATGAGATCTCGTATTCCCATAAAACGTACCTGGTAGGACTGTTGTGAGTTGACCTTGACCCTACCGGGCATCCACTTCTGTCCCTGATCACCTTTGAGCATCCAAATCATCTGAGTGGGCGAGCCAGCACCAATACCCCGAAGCCAGACAGACAGGGCTCCAACCCCTGAGCCACGCATGTTGTAGTGAAAGTGCATGCAGTGGACCTGCCATGAACAGTAAAGAGAGTGTCAAAGGCAGCAGAAACAATTTAAGATATTCCATAGAATAGCGTTCAATTTCTAGACAGTGCACTGTCATGGCTGCTGTTCTTTGCTCTATGTAAAAATTTTGTTAGGAAGCATGCTCACCATGGGCTGTGTTATTCTGCCCTGTTCGTAGGAAATCACACACACACACACACACACACACACACACACACACACACGCACACACACGCACATACACACACATACACACACACACACACACACACACACACACACACACACACACACATACACTCACATATGCATACAAAGCACTATATTTACTATGAGATCTTTCTCTTTCTCTCTGTCAGTCTCTCTATCTCTCTCCGTGTCTCTCCATCTCTCTCTTTCTCTCTCTCTCTCCCTTCTCTCTCTCTCTCTCTCTCTCTCTCTCTCTCTCTCTCTCTCTCTCTCTCTCTCTCCCTCACGTTATAATGTACCTGGTTATCGGAGAATGGCTCAGACAATAGGTCTGCCCTGTCTCCTTGGACACGTGGCCTGCTAGCTTCAATGAACAGATAGTGACCTGTGAAAAAATCAGGAGATGACTTTCTGATTACACCAGTACAAGCTATACAAATATGAGGCATCATGTTGAAATCAGGAGCTCATCAAAATAATTAAATCAAAGAAACTTGCATTTTTCTGTCTGTTTGACAATTTTTATCGAATTTTTGTTTTTTGACTAATTTAAAAAACGTTTGTCTTTATTTAAACAGTGACATTTTTTTTAAATGACAAAAAAAACCTTCTGCAAATGTGTTATAACTGCTATGACATGGAACAGACCGGTCAGTCTCAGTTGCAATGGTGAAGTTGTACTGAGCCTTCCATCATAGTCGACAAAAGGAAACAGAATATGATTATTCAAATATTTTTTTACCTAAGGCATTTCCCAGAGTGTTGTCAGCCGTGGGTCCAGTGCTCGAAGATTGAGTTGAGCTTTGACCTCTGAGCCAATCAAATTCGTCCATCTTCTGGTCACTACCAATGTTTTTCCAGGTACAGTAACCTCGCTCAAAATCACAAGCTCCTAAAGGGAGTGAAGAAAAATCGAAAGAAAAAGTTAATAAATTTCAAAACAGATTAATCAAAGAATTAATAGATAAAATAATAAAAGAGTGAACGGAGTCTTTTTAAGCATAGCTTTCAAGACTTATTACAATAAACTCAACAGCTCTCTCTCTCTCTCTCTCTCTCTCTCTCTCTCTCTCTCTCTCTCTCTCTCTCTCTCTCTATCTATCTATCTATCTATCTATCTATCTATCTATCTATCTCTATCTCTCTCTCTTTCTGTATAAATATCATTTATTTATTTACATACTTCTATGTGACAATAGAAAACATGAATAAAAGAATAGATTTGTGTGGTAGTGAATGTGTATATGCGTGTGTGTGTGTGTGTGTGTGTGTGTGTATGTGTGTGTGTGTGTGTGTGTGTGTGTGTGTGTGTGTGTGTGTGTGTGTGTGTGTGTGTGTGTGTGTGTGTTAGTGTGTGTACGTGTGCTTGTTGGAATGTTTGTGTATATGTGTGTTCTCCCTCACAATATTCTACAGGTTTACCTTTAGTGTCGCAAGCCCCTGATCTCAGGCGGATGTCATCAATTGCAATGTCGCTACGGAAACCAGTGCCCACAACACCCTCAAACTCGATGCTGTAGGGACCAGCTGATGAAGCTGGCAGTGTTACCTCTGCCCTCACCCACATGTTGCCTTGGTCACCACTGCGTTTCCACAGGAATGACCGACCCTATAAGTGATGGTAAAAGTAATGTTTAGCCTCCCATCAACACCTTCATGTTTCACAATGATCCCCAGACACAAGGACTTCCATCACTAAAAGTGACAATGTATTGGGAAGGGGGTGTAAGGAGAGGGGACTTTCAAAAGTTGGTCGCAGAGAACTAGAACAATTTTCTTTTCATAAAAGCAGAAAAACTCCAAAACAAGATCTGCCAAGCATTATCAGATCTATAGCAGAAGCTTTCAAAGGTTGATCAATATGCATTTTGATAAATTTCCTTTAACCACTGATTTACTCAAAAACAAAATCTTCCAACATGAGAGTATCTACATAGCTATGCCTGAAATCTTCAAGAGTTGGTATTAGAACATAATAATATTAAGAACAATTAATTCTTTACCATGGAAAAATAAAAAAAACAAAACTCTTCCAATTAGAGCATCAATGTATGGCTGAGACCTTCAAAGGTTGTCATTGCAGCAGAATATCAAGCAAAACGTATTCTCTATTATCAAAAATTCAAAAATAAACTTTTACTAACATGAGACTATTATGAAGGTTAGCGGCTCAAGTATTGTTAACCTGGGGTTTTGGCTAAAGTCACTTTTTACATACTCCAGGGCACTGGGAAGGGGTGTAAGCGCTGTAAAAAAAAACTCAGAGTTGCACGATTTGGGAAAATACACATTAAATCACAATTCCAGTTATTGTTGATGGATATCATTGTGATTCAGTGGAAGATTTGCAACAGACATCAGCATTGGTTCTCCATTCATTCCTCTGCTCGAATGCTCTTACAAAAGCTACGTTTCCCTGATCTTTCCGCGTTACCCATTTGTTTAGGTTCCGTAAGTAGGTTGCTCTGGGCCTACCCCTGCCTCGTTTGCCTTCAATTTTGCCAGTGATAGCTAGATGTTAAAGACATTTATATCTCTTCACGTGTTCCAAAAACTATATTTATCACTTTCTGATTGTTTTTAACTGTGACCGTCCCACAGGGGCTTCATCAAGCTCAACTTCTTTTGATTTCTTTTCCTTCCGCGATATTCTCAGCAGTCTCCTAAGACGAATATATAGTGGTGAAAAATCAGTCTTTTGTTCCTCCTGATAGATTTTTAAATACTAAAGCTATGATGTTTGTGCTGCTACCCCCTGATCTATGAATAGCTGAGACCTGCAAGAGTTGGTAGAGATGCAGCTCCCCCATCTGTGAGCCGAACATGTGGTAGAAGAAACTGAGACAGGAGGTGGTGGCGCCCGACACTTGTGGGCTGATCAAGCTGGCGCGGTTCCCTGCAGGTTTGTTGGAAGCCTCGATGTACATGTAGTGACCTGTGGGGGAGAAGGCAAGACAAGATGCATCATTCATTGAGAGAATACAGTCAACCTGTGTAATGATTGATTGAATAAATGTGAGACATCGTGGTGAAATCAGGCGCTCGTCAAAATATTGAAATCAAAGAAATCTGCATTTTTTTTTTGGCCAATGGGCAATTATTTATTTTTTTTTTTTTTTTTTTTTTTTTTTTGGCTCAACACCTTTTATGTCCATTTAAAAACACATTTGCGCTCATATGACCTTATGCAGTTGCGAGCGCCGTAAACCCTCTACTATAATAAAATAAAAACACATTTTTGTGAGGATCTTACTGAAAAGCATTGATAAAAGGCACACAAAAATGTAAATTTTTAGTTCCCAGGGACTCTCAGGCTATGGAAGATACCAAATTTTGGCGGCCATTTTCTCGCTAATTTTACATCTGAAACTAGGCAAACCTGACTTCCTTTAATCACAAATATTTCCTCTTCAATTCAGCACAGATGAATATTTTTTTCCTCAAAAAGAACACAAATGAACAGGCTTTAAGATAATACCATATACCCATATGATCAAAAAATGATGAGCGCCTGATTCCACCATGTCGTGACACAAATGTTTTCTGGCACAATTGACACAATTTTGGTCATGTAAGGGTTTTCAAACTATTGTTCAAAGATGGACGAACATTTACACAATTCTTAACATATCTAAGGTGATCACCAAATGTTAAGGAGAAAAGTGGTCCTCTTGGACAGTGTCATCAATGAAGAAATAACGCACTGGGGTAAGTGGGAAGTGGTCATTTGAATATCATTTTTGAGTACAGGAGTGTTACATAAGGTTGCATCTCCTACTGAAGCTAAGTGGGTCTATTTTATCACTTACAGGCCAGGCCTCCCCAGCGAAACCATGCTCATTAATTGATTGTAATGAATGTAAAGGATAAAGACCCTCGTCACCAAAACAAAGATCACATTGTAGGCTGGCAGCTTTGATTCTGCCTATCAAGGCCAACTCCAGCTGGGTGTGTGTGAATGTGTGTGTGTGTGTGTGTGTGTGTGTGTGTGTGTGTGAGGGGGGGGGGGAGTGGATGTGTGTGTGTGTGTAGTGGTGAAACACAAATGTGGCAGGATCTTAACAATAAAGATGTATCTTATCTTATCGCATATGACATCCCAGTAGAAAAAATAGAATTTCTCAATAAAAAACCACTTCACTTCTCCCAAAATCAAGGCAATAAAACAACAAAGAGCAACAGACTTTTCAAAATAATTAAAATGGTATAGGTTAAATGCCCCTATCAACACTATTAGGTTATTTAAGAGGTGGGACCTCCAGGTTTACCATCCGGCTCTGAAAGGACCAAGCGAAGTGGGAAATTCGTATAAAGTGAATTTCCCAAGTATTTAACATTGGACTGAGCTGAGGCTCGAACCCCCAAACCCGCAATCTCATGATTACGAGTCCGGTAGCCTAACCACTAGGCCACCGACGCCACGTGCCAGACTTTTCAGACCTAGAGGCAAGTCTTATTTTATCTTAATCATACCTTGTCTTGTCCCATAAGTATGGTCCTGTGTGGGTCCTGTGTTATAACTTCCAGTGGAGCCGGTCACTCGTGTCCAGTTGAAGTTGTCGTTGACGCTGTCGGTGAAGCCACAGGTGCCCAGCTCAAAGTCACAGTCGTTGTTGAGTGAGACTGGGCAGGGAGAGGAAAAGTTCTCAAGCTCAGTAGAAAGTCACACAATAATATACCATTTCGATTTCTAATTGGTTTTATTTATTTATTCCTTTTTCTTTCTTTCTACTTTCTTTCTTCTTTTTTTTGGGGGGGGGGGGGTTGTCCCAAGTCCCTTTAGTGGGAGCTATGTCAATGATCTTACTCATATCAGACAATCATTGACTATGACTTGTTAACCCTCTCCGTACACCTGGGGTCATTTTGTACTCCAGGGGTTGTATTCTTCACATTTTTAGAATACTTCTAGTGCGAAGATCTCTTTGGAACTTTCAGTATTTCCAAGAAAATCATTTTGACAGGCTGCTAAGCAAAGCGTACGGATCGGGTTAACGAAAGTGGGGGGGGGGTGGCTGGAGGGAGGACAGAGTTCCCCAAGTCGTATGGATACGATAGTAAAACATGACATACAGATAGGGTTAATCAATTTCTCCTGTGTAATTAACCCCAAAAATCCTCAAGGAGGTAGCACTAAACAAACTGAAAACAAGTAAAATTTGACTAGACACAAAAAAAGCTTTCCAGCCCTACTTTGGTGGAGGTGTAATAATTTGAAAGGCTTGTTGAATAGCTTAAAAGCCAGCCTTTTTTTTTTTCTTTCTTTTACAATTTCTCCATGCCCATCAGAATCGGTCTCATTGGCCATACCAGAAGCAACAAAACATCTTAACCTATAATCTTCATTTCTTCCATCACGCTCAAGAAATATTCTCCTCTACAGATTTATTGCTGTTTCTTAGATGGACAGAAAAAAAATATTATTACTATTATTATTATGCTTATCACAATCACAAAATACCTAAATGTAACGAAATTGTGAAATTTACAGAAACAATTTTAGTCTCCAAATGAACATTCAAGAACAAAACATTTACTTACAGTCAGCTTCTCTACACGGCAGTGGTGAAAACCTGATGTCATCTATGTCTGTGGACCCAGCATAGTTGGCACCCCTCACTCCAACGATTTCAAACTGAAAACAGAAACAAAGAACATTCCATTTTGGTGCTGCTATGTGATTTTTTCTTTTTTTTTCTTTTTAATGCACAAGTTTTACACAACAGCCCCAACCTCACTTTGACACAATTTACATCATTTAGAAGGTGGGTCTTAACCCTGCCTGTCTACGTCTCAGTCAACCTAGGTTGAGAGGGATACAATGTCACAGCAGAAAGACAGAGATATTCAATAAAATAATTTCTTCATGGCAATTGAACTCAGGTTTTCTGCACGCAATGGCAAAATGCTTAACTGCTACACTGCAAATGTCGGCCTGCTATACATGACATAAAAAGGCTTGTATAAGTAAGTTATTCTCGGTCTGTCTCTGCCTCCGATTTATCCAGTGAAAGTAAAATATTTAAGGTCTTAAGTCGATTCAAGTGCTCTAGGAAATGCTGAATCAATAAGGTGAGAACATGTAGAATATAATATTCTGCTAAAAATCAAAAGGCAAATTTCACTGAGCTGATGTATAAATATTGTCGAGATCATCTTGACCAAGGGTCTCAAAATCTTGGTCCAAGGGCCAACTGAGGCTCACAGGATGATATTTTGCAAACTCTACTCAACTTCAAAGTCAACCGTTAGTGCAATCCACATGTTTTTGCTAAAGTGTTGCCATGGAGTTTGGTATTTTTCACCACTTATGGGCTACCACAGCTCAGGCATATGGCAGCTTCTGGTGGTGAAGATCTGTTAATGTTCTGAACTACTATTTATAAAGACTGAGAAGATTATTATCATACTTTGTACATTTGTGAGGCGTCGAGGTGAAATCAGGCGCTCGTCAAAATAATAAAATCAAAGAAATAAGCACTTCTCTGCCAGTAGGCAATTTTTATCGAATATTTGTTTTTTGGCTCAATACCCCTATTACGTCCGTAAAACAACACATTCCCAGGTTCATTTCACTTTAAAACGTTGATTAAAGGCACAAAATATGGACATTTTCAGTTTTTTCAACTCTCAAGCTAGTGATATTACAAGACTTTGAAGACCATTTTCTCACTAATTTTTCCCCCAAAATCGGGTGACCCCAACCTTCTTCTATCACAAATATCTTGACTTTTATTTAAGTTAGATGGGAATTTTTTCATCAGAAGCTAGGCAAATGAACAGACTTTAAGATGATACCAGTAACTCCACGTGCCCAAAAATTGACGAGCGCCTGATTCCACTGCATCATGACACATTTGTACTTTTTTAGTAAATACTTCAAACCTTTTTCGTGTGGAATATTTGATATGGGCCAGGTTCATCTTGACTCTACCTCCAACAGCCCTGGGGTAATTTGAGTTTGAGACCACAGATTCAAACACTATGTACCTGATAGTTTGAGGAGCCGGAAACCAAAACCTGAGCCCAGTTCCAATCCAGACCTTGTGTGCCAGTCCTCTGCCACTGGAGTTTCTTGCTCTTGCTAGCCCCAGACCCAGAAATGGTGTACACCTGTAGACCATCAACAGTAGGCCCGTAGAGCCTGTACCAGAAAGTGAGACAGTTGCCACGCCCAGCTGGCGGCAGACTGGGAGACAGCAGGCCGGCCGTGTCATTGGCGTGGTGGATGACGGTGTCAGGGAGGTGCAGGACGTGGCCTTGGTCTATACAGACACACATATATGGAGGAATATGATGTTAAGCCGCACACACATAAACACAACAAATCAAGTGTGTCATAGGTGAAACATGATGCTAACACGTACATACATATACATTGCCTCGTTTTGCTTCCAAGGACTATAAAACTATGGAAGTTACCAAACTTATGTGACCATTTTCTCACATATTTACCTCTGAAACCAGGCGACACACAGCTTCTTCAATAACAAATATCTCAACTTCTATTCAAGTTAGATGGGTATTTTTTCATCGAAAAATGAGCAAGCTTTTAAATGATAACAATAACTCTAAATGCCCAAAAATAGACAAGCGCCTCATTCCACCACATCGTGAGACAAGTGTATCTACATTATGTATCTTTTCTTTTTTTTTTTTTTTTAGTATTTGAATTTTGACGAAAGTTTCTTGGACACATGAAACCAATACAACAGATTAAGCTACTGCAATTTTAAAAATACATTTTAAAAAGTTGAGCTGTACACATGTGAACTTCTGGCTGATGAAAAGGTCATGACTTACTCTTCTTCAGGGTATGATCAGCTGAGGGTACCGTCAGACCTCGGGGTAGGAGTGAAACTTGGCTGACTTTCCAGTCCAGTTGGTCGTCCGTGTCCTGTTTCCACTTGCACACATTGTTGGACTCAAAGTCACAGTCATACTGCGACGGAACTGAAACCAAGCACCATGATCATCATGAAAATCGTGAATCTCCTCATCAATTCCAAATTTTTCAGTAAAGACCATATTACTGACTTGATCAAAATAATTCCATTTGACATAAAACTTGTTCTTTATTTTATTTACTTGGTTTATAAGAAGAAATAATTCGGGTTTCAGGGACACTTGAACAGACTTAGAGACCTTGAATATCTTTCTGTCACTCACTGGAAAAATCAGAACGTAAAAAAGCAGAGGTTGACCAACAATAATTTACTCAGAGAACTTTAAACAGAAGAGTGATAAGGAAAGACCAGAATGATAACGGTTGTCTGAGCACACCCAAGCAGAGAAGTGAGTGGGGAACCATAATAATTTATTCTTTTATCAGATCTGGCATCAGAAAGAGGGAAACAACCATCCTTGCTCTTACAGACATACTCACTTTGTGTGGTCGTAGAGGGCATTGAAGTCGGCACTGTAGTAGTGAGAGAAGCTTGCCGGGCTGTGGTAGGGTAGACTGGACACAACAGGGGGAAAAGCTTCAGGTTACAAAATAAAAAAAATTCCTTATCTCTTAAGAACGCCTTTTAAGATATTGAAATAATTTGTAGATTTCCGTAGAACCTACTCCCCAAATGGGCTTGATGCACTTCTCATCAATAACAAAGCTGGTCATTTAAGCGACATTCAAGCTCATAAAATTGTTGCATTCATCTATGCGGACACATTAATACATACTTTTGCACACACACACACACACCCACACACCCACCCCCACACACACACACACACACACACACACACAAATACCCACTCACAAAGAAACACACACACATACACACGCATGTACACATAGACATAAGAAGCACATGGGTACACAGACAAACATTTAACCCTTCTCATACACCAAAATCAATAAACTCTACAAAGCATCATCTTAACTTACAGTATAGAAACAGGACAGGGTATTTCTAAAAATGATGAGCTTAGAGGTTTCTTTGGAAGATTCTGGATATATGTGTAAAAATAATGTCACACCCCCCCCCCCCTCCCATTTCAAGCAGGCTCAAAATTCTTGTCATAAACCAGCATTATTAAAACTTTATTTTTCTGAATCAGCTGCTACTGCTGTCTGAGTTCAAGTACCACTGACTTGAACATTGACAAAGTCATCAGTGATAAATTTGAATCCAGAAAACAGAGGCCTACTCCTCTCTACCATTTCTACCACTGACTTACTTGTGCAAGATGTGCCCTTCGAGATAACGTCATCCACTGCCACCAGTTCATCGGACCTGCGGCCAAACACAGTCTCAAACACAAGCTGCAAGAAAACAAGACAAAGATCTATGATGAGTCGAGTCAGAAACGAATTTTCTGCATGACCAAATCAGTATGTTCTACAAAGCATTTTATTTTCTCAAATACAGTCTGAAACATTAACTACTGTACAAAAGAAACAGACAGAAATCTATTTGATCTCAAACATAAATTGTAGAGAAGACAAAAAGATCTCCATTTGGTCTCAAACACAACATACAGAAAGATAGAGAGATATATATTTGGTTTCAAATACAAACTTTACCCATCTCATCATCCCATCCCATCCTCCCATTAATTCAAGCCTGTCTTATTATCTCCTCCCACCTCATCATCCCATCTCATCGTCCTACTCATTCCTAGCCTGTCTCATCACTCTATCGCATTTTGTCTCACAACCTCCTCTCACATCGTCATCCCATCTCAACATCCTATCCCATCCTATCTCATTATCCTACTTCTTCCCATCCTGTCTCATAATCCTCTTGCACCTCATCATCCCCCATTATCCAATCTCAGCCAATCTCGACTGAACCTTGCTCTTGGGGAAGGAGTGTCTGATTCTAGCACCCCAATTCATCCCATCCCATCCTATCTGTCTCATTATCCAATCTTAACTGAAACTGGCTCTGAGGGGAGAAGAGTCCAACTCTAGTATCCCACCTCATCACATCCCATCCCATTATCTTCTCTCATCCAATCTCACCTGAAACTGCCTCTTAGGGGGGAGGAGAGAGAGAGGGACTAACTTTAGCATCCCATTTCATCCCATCCTATCTATTCCCATCTCATTATCCCATTTCATCACATTTCACCTGAAACTGGCTTCTGGGGGAAGAGAACCATGCAACATACATCCTCCGCTTCACCCCTTCCCATTTCTTCCCCTATCACTATCCCATCCCATCCTTTTCATCTCATCATCCCATCTCATCTCATCCATAAGATAATTCTATTTCATCCCATCTCATCTTATCTCACCTGGAACTGGTTCTTGGGGGAGGAAAGTCCCACTCTAGCGTACATCCACTGGCTGGTGGTGTTGGAGACAGCCCAGAGCAGACTAAACTTCTGCACTGTCACGTCGTAGAGATAGACGTTCAGTGTTGCGGCGTCAGAGCCAGTCATATAGTAGTAGAAGCTGAAACACCAGCTCTGAGCCGCATCATGCACCGGCGTGAACAGACGTGACCTTCTACCGTATCGGACACCTCGGGTGAAGGCCAGTGCAAAGTGACCTGATGAAGGAAAGAAAAATAAAAGACACGGAAAGATTGGTCTATTACCCATCCATAATTGTGGAGGTGGACGTCCGTTTGAAGGTCCTGTTTTAATCAAATGTAGTCTGCGTTAAGTTGTCATGGATTTTCTTCTTTTCTTGAGGTGAGAGAAAAACTCAATGTGAATGAAATGCAGATATAACATCTCAAATAACGAGACATTATAATATACCATTGGCAATGGGCCCTTGGCAATTGGCCTTTCCACCCCTTCTCAAATGAAGAAAGGTACTGGGAACACACATCCATAAATACAGCTGTCACATTGTTGTCCATTACTACATGAACATTTGCCTGCTGGTATATTTGCACAAACATAAAAAGTTGAGAGCAGAATTCTAGAAATAAATTAACTAAATGTTTAATAAAAGCAAAATATTAAAACATTTTCAGAGCAAGCATTTACCCCTGACAAATAGTCTTTGAGGGAAGTATCCTTACCATTGGAAGATCTCAGAGTGTGGTCTACAAAAGGGATCCTGTGGCCAAAGACTGGACGGGCGCTGGAAGTGACCAACCAGTCATAGTTGTCACCGGTCTTCACGTTCGTGTACAGATCAAGTCCATTTTCAAAGTCGTTGTTGCCTGAATGAGAATGATTATATGAGAAACGGCAAAAATCATAATATAATGATGAGATTTGTTTGTCTTAGTAAAGCCTCCTTCATAGGGAAATATCGTGACTTCTATTTAAGAGAGGTATAGGGGATGGAAAGAAGGGTTATTAACCAAATAAACACCGGAACGATCAGCAGATGGACTCTGAGGTGGATATTGGAGCAGGGATCGGAGCACGTATGGCAATGCCCAGAGTGCTATGATGTTGTTCCCAGGATCAAGTAATCAAGTATTTAAGATAGGTGGGTATTTTTTAAAACTAAAAACATGACAAATGAACACATTATAAGACGATATCAATAACTCTATATGCCCAAAAATTGACGAGCGCCAGATTCCACAGTGATCTGACACACATTATGGTAAAATGTCTGTGTTCTGTACCATATGTGTCCCAACGCAGTGGAACGAGGTGCTCGTAAATTTTTGGGCAGGTGGAGTTATTGGTAGGCCCTATCATCTTAAAGTTTATCCACTTGTCTTGCGGTCAATGAAGAAAGTACCCATCAATCATTATTAGAAGTCGAAATATTGCAATTGAAGGAGGTGGAGTCACATGATTTCAGTGGTACAATTAGGGAGAAAATGGCCGCCAAAGTTTAGTAACATCAAGAGTTTAAGAGTAGGCCTACTTGAAAAGGAAAAAATTACATATTTTGTACATTTAATCAACTCTTTTCAGTAAGATTCACATAAAAATGTGCTTCATCTGGACATGAAAGATGTTCAAACAAACAAAAAAAGTCTTTTTTTTTAAATGACAAACTGGCAGAAAAATGCCAGGGTTATTTTCGATTTCATTATGTTGACGAGTGCCTGATTTCTCCACAGAGCCTCACATATCCTCTTTATAGCTCTGTTTTGGGTACTGAAAGTACAGTTATTGGAATATTTTCACTTCTGCTCATGTCACAAAGATAACCACTGTTTTTAAGGGTGTCTAAAAAAAATTCAAATATAACTTATATAAAGACATATTTTCTGTTCTGACCTTGACAATAAAAGTGCATAATAAAACATGGAAAAACTAACCGCTAAACGGACAGGCTCCATCCCGGAAGGAAACATCATCAATGGCAACATCTCCTTGAGCACCACTTCCGACTACACCTTGGAGGACAACCTGTGAAAACAAAACAGAAATGTCTTATTATGCCTCTAATAATTATCATATTTTAAGATTTTTTAAAAGTGTTTTGGTACCAAGATTCATTATTGAGTTTCATTCGAAGAGTCTAAGGCATTCACATGGTGCAGGGTTTGACAATCAATGAATTCTGACTTGTAAAACAAATGGTGCTGAATGTACTAGGACAAGGAGCAAAAAATGTAAAATAAGCAAACAATAAAACCCAATTTAACGTTAGGATATTTGCGATTTAAGGCGAGGTTGCCTGAGTTCAGGGGTGAAAGTAGCGATAAAATGACCGCGAAAGTTTGGTAATAGCTCAAGAGTCCTTGAGAACTGAAAAATTACATAATTTGTGCCTCCCATCAACGTTTTTCAGTAAAATTCACAGGGAAATGTGGGGGGTTTTTATAGACATAAAAGGAGTTGAGCTAAATTCGATCCAAAAAAATTCCCAACTGGCGGAAAAAATTCCTGTTTCTCTGATTTAAATTTGACAAGCTCCTGATTTCCCCACGATGCCTCAAAATTTATTGACTTCACAATAATAACTCCCATGAAAAGTCAGCAAATTTCATTCTTCTCCATCAGTCAGTACTATAGTCTCTCCAATAGAAAGTTCTAGTGAAGTCCTGGAGTATCTTTACAAGGCAAAGAACTAACACCAAATACTAGCTCTTATTTTTTAGTTATGAAATCAACCTGGAGTTAAAGTAAAGAATATCCCCCACATTTCAAACTGCATGGCCTGGCGCACAACATCTGAGGTTACCAAGGGGGTCATAATGGGGTCACTGTTATTTCTCTTGTGAACAGGAAAAAATACACTAGGGTCATCATGATATGCAAAGATGTGGGAGCTAAACTTTACTTTCCCTCTGTTGTGTCTGCATGAATGAACGATACCCACATGGTAGTCTTGTCCAGGGTAGACAACTGTGACCTCGGCCTTGAGCCAGTCAGTGGATTGTTGCCCCTGACGAGACCACACCGACTGGAAGTTGGGCCTGTTTGCGACAATATCTGCGTGGGTCACTGTGCCCACACGGAGACTCCCGATGTTTCTGCCCTTCATGTGGTACCACAAGGTCATGCACTGTGTGGTGCGAGTCTGCAGGACAGGGCTGACCAGATAGGCAAAGTCTCCCCGTCTCATGAGTCCGTTGATCTCTATGTAGTAGTAGGAGCCTGCATGTGAAAGTAAAATACACACATGTTTGAGAGAGTATGTGTGAATGTGTGCATGTAGGCGTGTGTGTGTGTGTGTGTGTGTGTGTGTGTGTGTGTGTGTGTGTGTGTGTGTGTGTGTGTGTGATTGTGAATGTGGTGAAGCATCAAAGCAATGCCCAAGCTTCTGGACAATAAAGATTTTTCTTATCTTATATTATCTTTCATGCTATGGCCCAAAATACAAATTATCAAAAGATTTCTATGTTGTAGAAGAACCGACAGGGATCAAATGATACACATAGCTAGCATTACTCATAATGAATCATGTTTTACGTATTATCTATCTATATAGCAGTAGGAGATTTTTAAAAATACATACATACTGTGACCTGAATCATGGTTCGTCCTGGATTACAAATGCAGCCAAATACAAACTATTTAATGATCTCTATGTAATAGTAGTAGTTTTATCACCCTGGAAAAAAATGTCTGCTGATATCCACGCAGTTGAAGGATCCTTCCAAGATTAATGAAACAGTCTATACGACATAATCTCTGAATACAGAAATTGTAACATGCTAAAAAATACTATCCTCTAGAATTCTATAAAACAGTCTACATGACACAATCTCTACGACAGATATTCTATGAAACAATGTAAGTGATGTTCTCTTTTTCTACAGAGATCTTATGAAACAGTCTAAGTGAAGTTATCTCTATCTAGAGATATTTTCTGAAACAGTTTACTCAACTGTACTGTAGCTTAAACAGCCTTTTGAAAGTCTAACATGCATACAGTATTGTGCTCACCATAATTGCTCCCGAGGGTGTGATCTGTAAATGGGCCAGTGTTTGGGGTCGACGTAGAACCTCGGTTTTTGGTCCAGTCAAATTTGTCTCCATTACCCTGTGTCCATCCACAGTCCCCGTAGTCAAACCCACAGGATGGGCCCACTGGGGACAGAAAAATACACGGTTTTACTACAAACCAGAAGCTAACAATGTTTCTGTCCAGCCCGAACACCAAAAGCTTATCAAGTCTCCTCTAAGATGAACAAATACTACAGTCAAAGTTTATTACCCTGAAAACACACAACATCCCATCCAGCCTGGCCATCCAAATTACTAGAGACAGAAAGCTCTTTCTCCCCTCGACGCCCTAGAGGTACAAGAGGAAGCATAAAGTAAATTAAGTAAGTAAAAGTTTATGGAAAAAAAAATTATCAACAGAATCAACTCTAAAGAAAATGTATGAAAGTTGCATCAATCTCTTGACTTAATATCCTTCATACTAAAGGGGATCAACACCAGGATTAGGATGAGTGTGTGAAACCTGCCTCTGTAGAGCAATTGTAAAATCTCTTGCCTCCAACACAAAGGACACGAGTGTTATTCCAATGAAGGAAGATAATATTTCATCGAGCATCTCCTTCTTATTGCTGAGATGTACTCTCCCACTCAGTCTAGATTGGCTCTGACTTACAGTGGGGGTTGAGACAGCCTGTTTCCAAAATGGTCTACATTGTGAAGGTTGGTTTGCAAAATATCTGCTGTCATGGGAGAAAGGTGAGGGTATAATGTGAACATGAAACTTTTCAGTGAACGCATCACCTTAGGGCTTGCACATTCCTGGGAATGGACTAACTTGTTAAAGATCATCATCATCATCAAGTGCCATATCTGCAGAAGACATCGACGATCATGGTTTTCCATTCATTCCTTTGCATGAATACTCTTAAAAAAGGAACATTACCCTGATCTTTCCCAGTCACCCATCTTTCTAGGTTCTCCAAGTAGGCTGCTCTGGTTCTACCCCAGCCTTGTTTGCCTTCAATTTTGTCAGTGTTAAGATAAGTGTGCAAATATTTGCAATTGGAAAAGTTTAAAAAAAAGGGGGGGGGAGACAAGAAACTTCGAAATGAACTCCTCACCTTGGGGTTGACAAAATCCTGTGACCACATGAATGTCATCAATGGCAATGTCCCCCAGGTAGCTCACACCACGGACACCTTCAATGACCAGTCTCTTCCCTCCAATCACAGAAGTCTGCACTTGCAGGAACTGCCACTGGCTGCCATGGTTACCGCTCTTGGACACGAACTGGATCTTTTGAGAGCTCTGAGAAAGTATTGAGATTTGTTTATGTTTTTATGTTTATATCATTTAGTAATCATAGGCGTTCTTTTATATAAGCTCTTTTTTTTCAAAGCTAATCTACTTTATCTATGATTAATTAAACTATAAGTAATATATATGTTCCAGGGAGTATTCTACTCAGTCCAGTATTCTTTCATACAGATATATCAAATAGGAGCCGAGCAGATGGATAGCTCGGCTGAAAATGGGAAGACAAATTGGCTGCATACAAAGTGGGATTAAGTTCCAAGTTCTCAATTTGGCACTGTAAGAAGAAAGTCCAGCTTCTTAGAATGTCCAGATTCTTCCATGTACTTTTTTTTTTTTTTTTTTTCAAGTGTAGTTGTTTTCAAGCCCCCTTCAACACAATTTAGATTCTTTAGGAGGCGGGAACCTGCCTGTCAGGGCAAACCAATGCTGAGAGGGAAAGAACATCCCGGCAGAAAGACAGAGATATTCAAAAAAAATTCGGTGCCCTAATAATTACAAAAATCATCATCATCATCATCATCATCATCATCATCATCATCATCATCATCATCATCATCATCATCATCATCATCATCAACATCATCATAACAATAATAATAGATTGCATTTATATCATGCTCTCGGCGTATTATTAAAAAATCCTAGAACAATGACCACTGACCTGGTCCAACGTGTAGACGTTGAGTGAGCCCACATGAGGCCCGTACATGTGGTAGTACAGCTGGAGACAGACCATTTTTAGCTGAGCAAGGGGCGGGGAGAGAAGCCAGGCCGTCTGCTGGCTGCTACTGTCAGGGTTCACCAGGTACACAGAGTTGATGTACATGTACCAGCCCGTGCCTGCCAGGACGACGATGAGAGACAACGGTTAGTTGTTGTATTTGTTAAACTCAGTGGCGACGGGTGTGTTTTCACTTCGCTCTTGTGTGTGTGTGTGTGTGTGTGTGCATGTGTGTGTATGTGTGTGCATGTGTGTGTGTGTGTGTGTGTGTGTGTGTGTGTGTGTGTGTGTGTGTGTGTGCACGTGATGAAACACCTAACCAATGTGCCAAGATCTGGACAATAAACATGTATCTTATCTTACCAGAGCATTAAATGAAAATGTGTCTCTTTCTGTGACCAAGTTAATTTGGCCACCTTTCTTTTTTATCAGACTGTAATCGGACAAAAAAGTTAATTGCTTCTATTTTTTTTATTTTTTTTTAGAGGGGTAGGGGGACTCAAACGTGTTAGTAATCAAAATGCAAGGAAATGAGTTTTCTATCAGACCGTAAAGAAAAAAGTAATCTGAAAAATAGATTAGTGGTGTGTGCGAGTCCAAAGACTCTGAAGTGGAATAGATTGTACAAAATTTGTCGCGCTGCAAAATTTTGCTTACAACCATAAAACTTTGGTCAAGTGAGCTGCGAAGTCTACATGCCTGTGTTCGGACATGTGTGTGTGCGTTGTATGTATTCATGAGTGTGTGTATATGAGTGTGCATTTGCAAATGTGTATGCATGTTGTGTGTGTGCATGTGTGTGTGTATGTGTGTGCATGTGTGTGTGTGTGTGCAAGCATGCATGTGTGTGTGTATACACATATGTGCGTGTGTACATTTGTGTGTGTATGCATGCATGTGAGTGTGTGTATGTCTATTGTGCATGAAGTTGTGCAAGAGTATTTTCATATCTTTTTCTGAACTAAATTGTCTTTCTGTTTGCAATCGTGTGCATGTGCATGCCTGTGTGAGTGTGCATGTGTGTGTGTGTGTGTGTGTGTGTGTGTGTGTGTGTGTGTGTGTGTGTGTGCATGTGTCATTGTGCATACATGTGTGTGTGTGTGAGCGCGCGCGTGTGTGTGTGTTTATGTGTGTGTGTTGTACATGAAGCTGTGTGAGAATATATTGTGTATGCATGTGTGTGTGTGTATGTATGTATGTATGTATGTATGTATGTATGTATGTATGTATGTATGTATGTATGTATGTATGTATGTGTGTGTGTGTGTGTGTGTGTGTGTGTGTGTGTGTGTGTGTGTGTGTGTGTGTGTGTGTGTGTGTGTGTGTGTGTGTGTATTGTGCACATAGCTATGTGAGAATATTCTCACATCTGTTTCTGACTTAAATTGTCTTACTGTTTGCAGTGGTGTGATCAGTGGTCGGGCCTGTAGTGCTGGTTCCCTTGGGTCCCTGGGCTCGGATCCAGTCAAAGTTGTCCCTGGTCTTCTCCTGTGTCCACGAGCAGGTGCCCGACTCGAAGCTGCAGTCGTACGGGGACTGAGATACTGAAATGAAAGAGTGGAGGTATTGGGGGACATGTCTTTCTATTTCCCTCTCTTCTCTCTCTCTCTCTCTCTCTCTCTCTCTCTCTCTCTCTCTCTCTCTCTCTCTCTCTCTCTCTCTATTTCTTCAGTATTCAACTTATTTTATATTTACCCAGTACGTTCATTGCCACTTCTAGACATGAATTAGCTTCCTCAAAAAAGAATACCCAGAGTATGAATCATAGACTTTCTGTGACGCCAGTACGGGAATCACACTAAAAAAAATAGTTGTAAAAATCAAAATGGTTACTGTTACAAATGGCTTCCGACAATTTTCTCAAATCGTCTAAAAGTGACTACCCAATCAGGCGCTTGTCAATTTTTGGGTGTATGGGGTTATTGGTATCATCTTAAAGACTGTTCATTAGCCTTCCTTTCGGTGAAAATAATATCCATCTATGTTGAATAGAATATGTTGAAATATTTGCGATTGAAGGAGTTCAGGGTCACCTGGTTTTGGAGACAAAACTGGTGAGAAAATAAAAACTGTAAATTAACATTTTTAGTGCCTTTAATCAACGTTTTTCGGTAAATCCACAAAGGAATTTGTTTTTAAATGGACATAAAAAGTGTTGAGCCAAAAAAAACAAAAAATTCGATAAAAATAGTTCGATTTATTTTGATGAGTGCCTGATTTCACCACACTGCCTCACAGATGGTTTACAAAGAAGAGTCTCACCAAAAGGTACTGGTGTGGAGGTCACTGGCGCTGGCGATGACGTAGAGGTCTGGGATGAACTTGACCCTGCATCAGCTGGGATCACTACGGGGACAAACAAAACAAAGTGATCATGGTGGTGTCGGTGACCTAGTGGTTAGGCTACCAGACTCGTAATCATTAGGTTGCGGGTTCTGGGGTTCGAGCCGCGGGCCCGACATTGTGTCCTTGGGAAAGGAACTTTACACGAATTTTCCTCACTTAATCCAGGTGGGAATGGGTACCCGGCCATAGACAGCGAAAGATCTTGTCAGTATGTTAGGGTTTTAGCGCCTATAAATGGCCGCTTGCAGTGTATGGTTCCCAGGAAGTTGAGTTTGTTTCAGAATGCTCTCAGGTCTGCTGGGGTAATAGTAGAGATTGTGAAGCGCATAGAGCTTGCTGATGAGTGGGGATTTGCACTATACAAATGATATCTATTATTATTATTATTATTATTATTATTATTATAATTAGCTAAAATAGTGATGACAATAATAACAATAACTTGTCCGTCAATATATAATCGCTGGGTGGTTTTGTTTTGGGGTTTTTGGGGGGGGGGTTGTTTGGTTTTGTGGGGGGGGGGGGTTGGGGGGAGGGGTTACATAAATAATGAAAAGTCTGGTAACAAAAACAAAAACAATTTAATCAAAATACTGAAATTTTTATAAACTTTGGAGAAAATAAACTGCACTGTGTCTCTAAACTAGCTCTTAAACTGCACACCTAGTTTCTCTCAAACAGAACAAATTTTTAAAAATGTTCACATCATGCATGATAATCAACAGCAATTTTGACAGACAAACGGAGGTCTCTAACACAAGAGAGACACTTACCCGGACAACTGGTCGATGCAGTGCGTTTGCCAACAATATCATCAATGGCAACATACCCAACATTGCTGGGGGCAACGCCATTGATGAGAACCTGAAAACAGTCGTAGAAATTAGTCATATAAATTGGTCTATATAAATTAGTCTGTATGCTTCCCGGGAAGCTGAGAATGTTTCGGACTGTTCTATGGTCTGCTGGGGTAATAAAATAGTGTAAAGCGCATAGAGCCTGCTGTTGAGCGGGGATATGCGCTATGCAAATGCTATCTATTATTATTATTATTATTATTATTAGTCTATGTGCATTTTAGTCTATATGAATCAATATACATGTAGATTGTGAAGCACATAGAGCTTGCTGTTGGGTGGGAATTTGCGCTATACAAATGCTATTCATTCTTATTAATAAATGTAAAGAAATATAATGGAGAAATCAGTGTGAGACCATCATTGATCAAAGCATTTAGGAAGGAACAAATGCAGTTCCAAACACAATTGAATTGGTACATCTTTAGCCAGCTGTTCAGATAGATGCACTATGCACTAAATTTTGGGGTTTTTAAAAATTGCAGTTTATTAATATGTTGTGGTGGTGGTGGTGGTGGTGGTAGTAGTAGTAGTAGTAGTAGTAGTAGTAGTAGTAGTAGTAGTAGTAGTAGTATCATTATTGTTATTTTTACTGAATACTATATTTGCATTTCTCTTCTGGGAGGTCATATTCCACCAAGTCTGGGTTAGCCCTGACATGTAGGGTTGAAACAGCCCACCTTGAATTGATCTATAATGCACCAATGAGGGTGTAAAATACAATTTTAAAAATCTATAAGAAAATTATAGCACTCACCACATAGGCCGAGGTGCGAGAGCTGATGGGCACACTAGCATACTGCCATGAGGTAGACTGGTGCGTCATTGTCCAAATCACTGCTGGATTATTACCACTCACGTCAGCCACAGAGATTTGCAGCTTAGCTGGGGAACACAGTCAATTCGTTCATAAAAACGTATCTGTTTTATTTGTTTTAGTAAAAGTTTTATGGCACTTGCAACACAATAAGGTCATATAAGTGTCCAAGATTAGAGGTGTTACAAAAGAATAACAAAAAAGAAGGCAAGATAGAAACAATAGACATTTAATAGGAAAGAAGGAATAAACCACACCATAACATCCATCAACCATCCATATCAAAACTTGGTTTAATGCATCAAGACTGAAATGTTTGAATCAACAGAAAACACTTTACTTTAACAGAACATGTGCGCGAAAAAGTGAAATTCACAAATACAGTCTAGAAATTAATTACTTCATAACAACAAAAGCTTACATAACATAACCACATGCTTACCTGCCCTCCCATAGGCAGAGCACAAGACAGACAGGCTTCACCTCCTTAACCCATTCCCAGTCAATACGGGGGGAGGAGGGGGGGGCATTTATCACATAATAACCATACAGCACAAGAAAAGCTTACACAACCAAGTGCGTACCAGTCCTCTCATAGGCAGAGTACCAGAGGGGCTTCACCTTCTTAACCCAGTCAATAAAGGGGTGGGGTGAACGGATGGGGAGGGGTGGTCATTTATCACACAAAAAACATGCAGCACAACAAAATCTTACATAGCCATGTGCTCACCTGTCCTTCCTGAGACAGAGCATCAGATCAGACAGTGAGGCTTCATTTTCTTAACCCAGTCAAAAGGGGGGGGGGTGTCCTTTTAATTACATAATAACCATGCAGCACAACAAAAGGTTACATAACCATGTGTGAGGCAATGATGTGAAACCAGGCGCTCGTCAAAATAATGAAAGTCAAAAAACTGGCTTTTTCTGCAGGAATTTGGGAATTTTTATCGAATTTTGGTTTTTTGGCTCAACAACTTTCATATCTTTAAAGAACACATTTCTGTGTGGATTACACTGAAAAACGTTGATTAAAGACATAAAAGATGTAGTAAACTTTCAGTTTCTACGGACTCTCAAAATAAGAAAGTAACTCAACTTTGGCAGCAGCCCTTTTCTCGCAATTTTACCTCTATAACCTGCCAACCTCCACCTCCTTCAATCACCAATACGGATATTTTTTTCATAAAATGTAAGGCAAATGGACAGACTTTAAGATGATGCCAATAACTCCATATGCCCCAAAATTGACGAGCACCTGATTCCACCGCGTCATGACACATGCGCTCACCTGTCCTCCCAGAAGCGAGGTACCAGAAGGAGAAGCACTTGGTCCCGGTGAACGGCTGCATGGCTCCGCTCATCACGGTGGCTGCCGTTGTCTGGACGTTGCCGTTGGGGCTGAGGATCAGGTAGTGGCCTGAGGGGAGGGATGGTACGGGTGAGTTGACTTCATTCTTCATGATGTGTTTGTTTATTTTAGTATTGTTTTAGTAACAGTTGTACAATTGCAAAATAAAATTAGGCAAAATTGAATAGGTTTTACACCGTATAATATAAACACTATAAGGTTATTTTATAGACAGGACCTCCAAATTGAATGTACATAGGGCCAAGCCATAAATAAAATATAAATAAATAAATAAATTACACTTTTATTTGTCCCAGAAGGGCACTTTGTTTTACAATGGCAAACATACATACATAAATACATAATTATAAATACGTACGTACATAAATACATGCATGCATAAATACATACATAACTACACACTATTACACAAATACAGAACAGTTTACTAACAATGCCACTGTCGGTCGCCACTGTGCAGCGCCCTGTAATTTGAGCTAGGGTTGTCGTGTCTTGCTCAAGGACACACTCCAGTGACCACCCATCTGATCCCCGTGTCACCGACACTTGCTTGACATTGCTTGAGTCAAAACTCACTACTCACTTAGCCACTGGAGCCCCCAAACAACCCAAGTTCAGAGCATTCTGTTGGGGATTCGAACCAAGGCCACCCACTCAGTAGTCCTGCATGATACCAACTAAGCTAACAACACATCATTACAAGTTACAGTTACAATTTTCATCTGCTTCTTCTTCTTCTTCTTCTTGTTTCATCTTTAAATGGACACCCCAATCTCTAGTACAAAAGCAGCTGTTTTCCGCAGGTCTTCCACGCCTCCATAGAGTGTTGAGTCTCTCTGCCTTAGGTTGGGTCAGTATTTCTTTCTAAGTGCCTCAAGCATTGTGGAGGTTGGCAGCAGATGGTCCCTTGTTTACTGGATTGATAACAACATGGTTCGCCGTTTCATTGCCATTTTCATCTCACCTGTGTTGCTCAGTGAAGAATGATCTGTGTTTGGCGACCTGCCACTGAAGCTTCTGCTGGTTACCCTCAGCCAAGAAGAGGGCCCGGGTTTGTCGGCCCAGGTGCATCTGTCCTTCTCAAAGTCGCAGGAACCCTCCGAGGCGCCACAAGCCCCTGGGGTGATCCCAATGTCATCTACAGCCACGTCACTCTGGACTCCAGAGCCTATCACAGACTCAAACTCCAACTGAGGACCAGCATACAGTAAATGGGTGAAAGCTCTGAAACAAAATTCTTAACCGTTATGTATACTCTGAATCACTCTCTCTCTCTCTCTCTCTCTCTCTCTCTCTCTCTCTCTCTCTCTCTCTCTCTCTGTGTGTGTGTGTGTGTGTGTGTGTGTCTCTCACTCTCCCTTCCCTTCCCTTCCCTCCCTCCCTCCCTCTCTCTCTCTTTTTCTCTCTCCATCTGTCTGTCTCTCTCTCTCTCTCTCTCTCTCTCTCTATCTATCTATCTATCTATCTATCTCTCTATCTCTCTATCTACCTAAGCTGTAGCTTTGTTTACATCACTAATGAGGAAAGTGTATCAGAGCCGACATCAGCAGTCAAACTTTATTTCAACTTCCAAAGGGTGCAAAAAAAAGTGAAAGCTGGAAAACATGCTACGTGCAAATGAAGCTATTTTTTTCACTACTGTGTGTGTTTTTATGCCCCCATTGATACAAATAAGATTATTTAGGCGGCACACTCAGACCCTGCCTTTCAGGGCCAGGGATACAATATCCCGACAGAAATACTGAGATGCTCTTTACTAATTCTCCCCAAAGAGGAATCGAACACAGGAATCAAACTCAGGTCTCCTGCATGTGACAGCAAAGTGCCTAACCACTACACCGCAGATACAGATGCACAGAAAGTTGAAAAAAATGGACAATTGCTGTTGGCAAAGATTATAAGCAGGAAAAAGTTAAGTTAAAGATGTCCCTCAGCACAACGGTCAATGACCTACCTGCCAGGACAGGGTGGATGTCACTGTCACCTCATTCCTTATCCACCTGAGTGACAGAAAACGAAAATGATAAACACAATTAAATGAATTTGGCAAATAGTATTTCTTTAGAATGTTGTACTTTTTCACAACAAGAGAACAACAATAATTAAACAGTGTGCCGCAGAAGGAAGGCCGAGAGGACAGGAGAGCGACAATTTTCCAGAAAGGAAAAGTAACTATTGCAGGCAAGAGATGTGAAGTGTGGCTGGCAGAAGAAGTAAATGTTGCGGACATAGAAAGGGAAAGCAATCAACAGGAAACAGAAGATATTATTTTAGTGGACAAGAGAAGGAAAATCTTCTGGAAGAAAATGTAAAATATTGCAGATAAGAGAGGTAGGTAAAACATGGATGACAGATGAAGAAAATTTCAATGTTGCAGACAGGAGAAATGAAATATAGCAGACAGAAAGGCAAGCAATAGCAGACAAAGGAAATAAAATGTTGCAGACATGAGAATAAAAATGTTACACATAAAAAATTTAAAATATTCCCCCCCAAAAAAGTAAAAGGGAAAATGTTCCAAAAAATAAAAAGTATCAATGTTGCAGTCTGAAGAAGTGAAACAGAGCGAAATTTTTCTTTTACACGAGTAAGATTTGTAGCAGGCATCAGCAATCAAGACTCGTCACTCACTTCCCTATTCATATACTCTCAAAGAAGTTATATCATCCTTGGGGGTGGGG